TACCGTCAAGCCAGTATTCTTCGGGTATGCACAACCCATTGGTACAACGATATTCATTTTTGTCACACTCGTTCATTTCCACCTTATCACAGTTCTCTTCATCCACACCATCCATGCAATTTTGCACACCTGCAGAATAGAAAATCATCAAAGCATTTTACAAGAATGTGTTACCATCACAAATGTTTCTCCAATCCAAACACAAAAGTCCGTATTCGCAATCGATATTGTTATAGCACACGCGCCGACGATGCAGCTGCCCTATTAAACCATGTTCTATGCTTAAATCTGTGTATCTCGATATTGTTTTGACCATGTCAACGACTGTTGAATTAACATAGAGTTTGTACTCGCAGTAACGACCAAAAGCCCTTTCTGAGGAAGAACAGCTAAAGTGAAAAGATATTTCAAAGCGACATTCACTATGAAAACGACTGAAAACTGTTCTACGCACTTGCACACAAAATCATCACCAAGTAATAAGGATGATCGATTTGCTTTCAAATTGTACAGAAAGGCAGCATATCGGTCAGCCTGGTCGATTCCAGACCGAAAGGTTTCAAATACTGTAGTCACCTCAATACCACGTTCAAACAGAGAAGAAAATGAGTGAGCAATGGCATCGTTTTTGCATCGTTTCTGACCATTCCGATCCGATCGTTTTCTGTAGTTGGTAATGTTCTCGGGCTGGATGCAATATTTAATCGCATGTGTATTCGTAAACTTGTTTGAATAGTGTAAACAGTTATAGTACTGCGCATTCGGCAAGTCATCTGTGTCATGAAATATGTCCATCGCTTGGCTGGCTGTTAATATTACTGTTAGAAGTTCCATGGTAACACGAATGTGCCACATTTCTCTCGAGCTTCGCCACTTGAATGCCTTTCTTAGAAATAGTGTTATATTTTTATACGATCAATTTACTCTTGTTTTCTGATTAAAACTTTGTGGATACCTTAGAGTCTCATTGGCACGCTTCGTTCATCCACCATTGTAAAACATTTAATATTCAGATTTATTATCCGACTTGAGCATTCTCGAGCTCCTGCTGACAAGTCGTAATATCTGCTTAATTCAGATAATAAAGTTTCAGAAATATGCCACCTACGGATTTCTTGTACATGAATGAACACGGCAACAGACTATCGATCATTCAGGATATTCAGCGAGAGTAATATTCAAGAATATTTTCTGAATCCTTAACAATAGATAGTATATACTTGGTTTTCTCCAACAGACCTTTATTAAATCAGAGTCAAACTAGTTTGACGCATAGCAAACAAAATATCATGTGGTCCTGTTATCAAAAGTTAAATACTGTGTTCACAAAATTATTCACTTCTGTATGAATAATACAAAATAATATTCTATTTATGAACGTGATTTAAGCACATATTAGATATTTACATTAGAAAAAAGTAAATGAAATACATAGGCCCTAAGCAATTCTTCTATGGCTTATCATATCAACGTCTAAGAATTGATTGAAAAACGTTTTCAGGCATAAAATTCAAGATTCGAAGAAAAATGTCTCATTCGTCGCTAATGATTGATTTTTTTAAGCTCAAGATCAATTATAGTCTCGCTTGTGAAAAAAAAATAGTACGTAGAAAATCAATTCGTGTAATTTCGAGTAGAGTATTGTTTTTATATACACGATACTGATCAATACTAACATGAAGTAATCTAAGAATTGAAAATGCTGTTTCAATCAGCTTCAGAGGATGATCAGCACACACGCAGTGTTAAAAGTTACACACGATTATCGATTCATGATGAAATTGAGTCATTAAATCCGTACATTTTCCGTATGACACTATTTTCATTGATCTATCTAGTTCGATCGTTTCAGATATAGTCATCATGAGGATGAGTAGTCAAACACAAAGCTACATCTTTCTATTATTCACCATATCTTTTCAATGTGTATGAGTATGCAGAAAATTCTGAATCGCTCACAGATGAAAATGCATCACTCGCTTCTATACAGCTTTCATACTATGATATTATCTATAACAGGTTCGCTGATTATCATAATCTGGGATAGACAATTGCCTTGATTTTGCTAGTGAAGCCATGTGCTTACTTCAGAAAGCATTCAAGAATATCTTTCATCTGAAAAGATTAGAAACTATTTGCAAGCAAGGCAGCATTCTTCTACATAAGTTGTTCATGATCAATTTTAGTCGAGAATGTTTTGCTTTTTTTTGTGATAAATGATTGCAATTAAACTTCTTTGACGCAAATCAACAAAGTGTGCATGCAAATAAGATGGAGAGAGACTTTGAACAAAACAGCACGAAACCACGATTGATCAATGATGATATTGTATGAACACGTATTCATTGTCAGAATTTTCTTATTCATACTCAAATTTATTGTACTGTTCACGGCGCATGAGTGAGAGCTATATTGAAGAAAATCCGCTCATCCATCCACAGACCAAGATTCAAGTAAAAAATAAACGCTATAAAACGATACGAGAAGCAAAATACTAATGGCTCAATATTTCTTTGAATACTTATGAAATTAAGCTGCGAGAATATAAACAGCAATATCACAATGAATTCAGAGAATAGCGGCAATGAACGATTGGATCAATAGATGGAAAAATAGTTCACCCCACGAAAAGTTGAGCATACCATGAAGAAATGAAAAAGCATAAACATACACTTATTATATATATTTCTTGTGTGCTTCTTTCATTTCAAGCAGATGTCCTTTTCTCTTTCAACGAGAAACGTTGCAACAAGGAAACATGGAAAGAAAAAATGCTTACACATTTCTATCAGGCATTTCTCTGTATATATATTTCGATTCTCGCTGAAATCATTCTCTTTCTTGAGATGAAATGATTCAACAAAGCGATATAAAAACTATCGAATGAGTCTATCTCTATCATGCATATCTGCTTAAGGGAGAGAGGGGGTGATGGGTATCCCTGACATATCCTCATATTTTGTTAGTTTGTAGGATCAATTCCCCAGAGTCTAGGGTTAAAACAGTTCGCGGGTTGAATGGTCTATGGTAGTTAGAAAAATTTCAAAAATTGAAAAAAATGTTTTTCTAGCTGTTTGGATGTCAACGAAAAAGATACTTCTTACCGAGGGTGTGGATGTGGATGTGGTGATGGGTGCGGATGTAGCTGTGGGTGCGAATATGGATGTGGGTGTGTGGGGTGTGGGTGTGGTTGTAGGTTGTAGGTGATGAAAAGATAAACACCGACACCGACACCCACACCCCACCCCACACCCCGCACCCACACCCCACCCCAAACCCACACCCACACCCCGCACCCACACCCCACACCCACCCACAGCCACACCCCATCCACACCCACACCCTAACAAGTAACGTTCATCAGTTGGGGTGGGTGTGGGTGCTGTGAGTGTGGATGGGTGTGGGGTGTGGGTATGGGTGTGGGTGGTGTGGATGTGGGGTGTTGGTGGTGTGGGTGTGGGGTGTGGGTGTGGGTATAGGTGTGAGTGAGTGTGGTGTGTGGATGTGGATGTGGATATGGATATGGCTGTGGGTGTTACAATCTTCTCTTAAGACACCCACACCCCTAGGAGGATTTATAAATTCATCTCATCTGATATAGAATTGAGCCGGAGAAACTTATATCAAATTTTGAATGTGTACATCCCTCGATCATTCTGGATTAGAGTTGACAGGAAATGGAGCTGGGAAGAGGATCTCATCTTCACGAAGTTTGCTTGAAGATGTGCTATTTCTAAGGAAAACACCACATCCTTTGTTGCATGCGAATATTGCTAGATAGTCATACTTTGAGAAAAAATAGATAAAAGTTTTAATGTAAGCTACGAAAAATTCAAGCGAATGCACATGTATTAGATGCAGCTTCTCTAAGATAGATAATGAATCCTAAGTTCAATTATACACTGGTTTGAACTATCTTTCTTTAATTTCACCATCCTTAAGTCAGTTTCAGTGTTAATGTTTTCTCCTCTGCTCTATGCCCCATCTTCAAATCAAGCAATAGGATTGGTCAAAGAACAATAACTTGTTCAAGTAGACATCCCTGTTACTGATGATTTTTTCGAATGCAACTTTTGTTTCTGCTTTCAGTTCCTATTCACATCTTTCTCTTTCATTTTCTTCTTTCTTTTATTGTGTTGAATTCATATTAAATATTGCTTTTCATTTACATATCGTCTGCAAATAAGAGACATGGTTTTGTGTCGATTATGTTTTATTCTTTTTAACAAAAAAAAAAAAGAAAGGAACAAATGTATTTCTTAATTAAATTATATAAGTCAAAGAAAAGAAAACCTATTTATGCGTAAATTTTCACATGTATGGTAAACACTATATTATTGCGCTTTATACAGAATTTCAGTTGGGAAATGTATAGAAGACAAAGATCAAAATGAATAAATACTACCATTTTTCATGAAAGTTTAAAAAAAATAAATAGAGCAATAAATCTCTCTCTTTTATGAAACATAAATGTGCAATACACACATAAATGAATTTTAAATTTGATCTGTTATTCGATCTGTTACTAAAACAACAATTTCACGTAGCTATAATTAACTCATTAGGTAAAGTCTGCAGTTGGACAATGTCTTCTATGGAAAATAATCAAAAAATAGATAATATAGTGAAATAACTACATATTTATACTTGATAAACACGCGTCGGTATTTACATCAATTAGACTCACATCTGCACCCTCATGCTAAAGTTATTTCAACTATCTTTTCATATCAAAAGTCACCAATGACACGAGTAGAAGAACAAAGTTTTCAGCCAGTTTTATTATTTACTCTCACATGTTGAATAGCAATAAAAAAAAACATTTTTCATAGAATGACAACAATGTGACACTTTTTTTTTCAACGTTGTATGCTGCATTTTGTTTTCCGTTCTTTCTCCCACATTGGGCTGGTAAGTGTGTTTGAATAGTTACATGACTGTTTTTATGTATCTTTTTTTACTTTTTACTTCACCATATTTTTACAGATATTATTCCAATAATGGCAGTTAATCATTTAAACGAAATTATTTCATTATTTCTTCAGTGGAATGTAAAAGAACTTAGTGATAATGATTTGAGTACTGGTATTAGTAATAATGGGAAAACTTGTTCAGCTGAAGAAGTACGTCACACTGCACGATTATTAGGTTCATCTCTTTTTCAGTTTCGATATAATGAAGACAACGTATTTCTTATTCGAATCGCACCCACAGTAAGCTCATTTTTCCTAATTTTATTATTGTTATGATTTATTATGTATCTTAGATAAATATATGTAAAGATTTTCTTGCTGGTAAATGTACTTTTAAAGCAGAAGGATGCAATCAACTTCATTTATGTCGCCGTTTCGGTTCATGTAACACAAAAAATTGTCATTTTCCTCATGATTTTACACATGGAAATAATCGACGCATTGTTGAACAATCAAATTGTCAAAATGTAAATCCAATACTACTTGTTCGTCTTATTCGACTTAATAAACAATTGTCTCGTCGTTTGTCTAATGTAATATTTTCTATTGTATTCTTCCAAAGATAAACTTTTCTATGTAGACTTCGGTTATTCCTCGCGTTATTTCAAAAACACCGAATACGACATCATCGTCAGTAGAACCCAAACAAGTTCAACAAGTTTTTAAGAGAAACAAACATTTTCGTTCAAGACGAAAATCTCGAGGTGATAAGTCTAATACAGTTACTGATGGAGATAATACTACTGAGTCGACAGTCGTGTCGTCAGTATTAGACACAAATTGTCAAATAAATATCAGTTTTCCATCAAAATCGATTACTTCTCATATCACAATTGACGAAATCGTAGACTTCTTAAGATTACAAGGTGTAGCTATCCAAAAAGTGTTTAATGCGAAAAAAAATGAACGTTTTCATCAATGTACACTTCAATTTCAGGAGCAAAACGGTAAGTAATTGTTAATTCAATTTGTCTAACTCTTCGTTTTATAGTTGTAGATAATCTTCTGACACAATCGAGGATTCCATATGAAGATGTTGATTTAAAATTTAAAAGAACCAATCCATTAATCGATCAAAAACGTTTCATACTCAAATCGACAATCGATCCTAAACGAGGACCAATTAGCATGGAGAAATTTTCGCTTTATATTGATGTTTTAACTAATCATTGTTCGTTTAAATTAACCAATCTTTCATCATCAGTGGAACAGTTTCTGCTGGTTCAATGTGAAAATATCATTGGTAGGAATTCTCGCTAAGTGTTTTAGAGTTATATTTGTTTTCTAGACTTTGACCAACTTCGTCGTGTACAAAAGTCTAGACGACAATTACAAGGAACGGATATCGTGTTGAAACAAATATATGAATTAGAAGCGGCTTTTATTGAGTCTAATAACAACCCATTATCGATTGAAATCATTGAAAATATGGTTGAGCCCGTTTTTGATAATGTCTTTATCTTTACTGTTGAGTCGAACAGGACAGGATTTGTCGAATTCATTGATGGTGATAGTCTAAAAAAGTGGCTAGCAGATAGTGACACAATACAACAAAAATTTGACGTTAATATCAAACTTGATGTTAGATGTATGAATGAAGATGAGGATATCGGCAGCAATAACGCTATGTCGCGTTCCTCAAATCGTAAACTATCGTCAAAAACAAAGGAAGACGGCATACTTCCACAAATGACAATATATCTTCGTTCACAATGGACTTTGGTTACTAATCATCCGAAGTTCAGTATTGAGTACAAGAATTATATACGTAAGTCAATTCATAGACATCTTGATACTCAAGTGAATGCATACAGATCTCTTCTGACAAAACCAGTGAAAGTCAATGAGATTTTACAATAGTATTCTGATTCGGAAAGTCTGCGAGTATGTCAGTGACTTTAGCTTAATTTTCTATCCTTTCGACTGAAAAGCGTTTATAAAACATCGAAAATCTCAAGAGATTTCGTCCTTGGTTATGCGACAAAACTGCCGTTTTCGGCCTGAAAACAGCAAGACATTGTAAGTGTGAATATGATGATTGTCTCCAGTCGCTCGTTTTCGCCACTTCATGTTCAATTTCTGTCGGAATCTGAAAAATTAGACTACTAGACTCGGACAATGGATTCGTCTTATTTGTGGAGTTTTGTGACTGGAAGAAATAGAGCATCATTTACCTGTATTCTAACGTCCATCATTTTTCGGCGGTAAACAATAAAGTTGCTGCATTTCGATACTATTGATAGATATCAGTTTAATGCGCAAACCGTGTCGACTACTAATTGAATTTGTGGTTTTGACGTAGAAGGTGAAAGGAAATTCACATATTTAATAGATACAGTAATTACTTGAATTTATTTTGAGGATGTCTGATTATGCAAACAATAACCAGCAATTTGAAACAATGACGGAGGAGGTGGGAATTAAGCCATCAAGTCCAACATCTTCGGTTTGCTACTAGTTTAAAGTCAAACTTGAATATAAATCACTGGAGGCATTATCAACGGTCGTCTGTATCTATAAATTATAATTTACATATAGTTTTCATTCCAAATTTCTTTAAGATTAAAATAACGATGTAAGGCTTTGTACTATATATACCCTCCATAATGAATTTTTGTCTATATTTTTTTTTCTACAGTTCTACGTGGAAATCATTTTTCATTCCGAAACTAGTTTGGTTTCCCTCGTTTTATTTTTCAAATGTATCATAATGAAAATTTTCGTAGTAATCACGACTGTCCCCCTAGATGAGATAAACGTAATTTTTCAGAATTCACTACTATCTCGCAGAACTCTTTTGCTATCTCATACGGGTCTATAATCAATTATAGGATCTGAGCTTGGTTTCGAGATTGAAATTCGTGGTAATCGAATTGAAATCCATCATAATTCCATAACCGCTATGTTGGCTAAACAAAATCCTTCTGAAATTCTGGCCAATAGAACTCACAATTTTATGCGCACATTCGCTTTTCGTTCAATTATATTGCAACAATCCGTAGAACAACTTAAGATTTTTCATGAACATTCCAATACTGTTGCATTCTGTCATATTAAAGACAACAATTATAAGTTGGCTACTAAAAAATCAAATATAGAAAGTATTATGCAAAAGCTACTGCAAAAGAAACTAAACGTTGAAAAAGTAGTAAAGAATCAATCTTCAGCAGCATCTACTGATGAGGAAAAGGTCAAAACTGTTAATGAAATGTAAGTTCTGCAGCAGTTATTTCCATTATTTACTTCTTTGTTTTCTTAGAGTATTACCAAAATTTGTCATTCCATCACCATTGCTCAACTCAGTAACTACTGATGACAGGTACATTTATTTATTGTTCTATTCGAAGTCTATCTTTGTTTCCTATAGGCCTATTGTAAGTGATGACATTACTCACAAGATTGTGACATTAACATTCAATAATTCAGCACAAGTGGCTTTATTTACTGATAAGACATTTCAAAACTGTCTTCAAACCTATTTCAATAAAAACTATTGTGCTAAACTTGATATGGAGGATTCAGCTGATGTCAATAGTCGATCTTTGGTGAAAATAATCGGACGACAGAGCTCTATCGACCCAACACTAAGCGAGTTGCTGACTTTATTTTCATTAGGTCGAACAAAAACATTCAATGAAACAATAGGTCAGACATTTTTCATTCTATTCTCTGAGATAACTTTATCATTTTAGATAATGGCTGGGTAAAGATTACCAATGCAGTTCATGTTATTCAACATCATTTTAATGTCTTGAACATCAAATGTGTTTGTCAGCAACAGGTATCTCCACTCGCGATACTAGTGCACTATATCGACAAGGAACATATTGAGTTTGGTGTTGATGAGCAAATCATTGATGGATTATGTCGAAAAACATTGGTTCTAGCCAAATGTACATCAGCTACATTTGAAAAGGAATGGGAGTCACTTAAAATGAAAATATATATACGTGATGATTATGGAAAAGATATTTGCCTGTTTGATGAACAACAGACTATTACCCTATTCGGTTTACCTGAAGTAGTTAAAAATGTTCAACAATTATTTGAAGATAAGAAACCAAAATATATTCCACCTATTGTCAAAAACGAGCTGAACAAACCAGAGACGTCAGTACAACCGAGTCAATCTACCATACATCAAGAAGATAAGCAAATAAAAAAACAAATAGTTCAAACATTCTCAATAGCATTCGATGTTGATGAACCTGGTTTTGAAATTCTTGTCAATCGGGACTGCAATCAATTATTAAATATTGTTGGGTCGAAATGTCAGTTAGAGAAACAAATTATTTATCATAAAATTCAGATTCAAATACCCAAAGTAAGGGTTGATCATTTTAACCATAATACATTGCAAAGTCAATCGCAAGAAAATATTTCTGAATCAACGAATGATGTTAATAACCCTTCTGAGAACTCAAATCTAAATTGGTTTCTAAAATTATTTCAACGTAGCACATCGAAGACACAATCTTCAACACCTGTAAAACAGCAAAATTCCACACCACAAGTACAAGCAACATCAAGTGCAACTAATATAACTAGTATTGCTATTGGCAATTCGAAGATTATTGTTTGTACAGGAGATTTAACAAAGCAAGCGGTCAGTTTAATTTTCTTCATTATCAGAAGCTTGTAAAGATTGATAATTTTCTTGTAGCATGAACCTAATTAACAGACTAAAGCGAGTTGTTGAGAATAACCATCTTTTTTTGTTCCACAACTACGTATTTTAAACACAACAGAATGATATATTTTTTCATTGATTTTTAATGAATGAGAGTCATAGATTCATTATGCTCCATATATAAGCTCACTTACATGTACACAGGTATTAATTATATGTTAATTATTAAAAGAATTAACTAACGACAAAATAAAATACTTCATATCAGTGACTCATTTATAAAGCAAACAATATCTGTATTTGAATATTGCTTAGAATAATTAATATTCTTTATTTTTTCAATTTATTTCTTACAGGTCGATATAATCGTTGTTTGTTCAACATCAGGAATACTACGTGATGCAATTATCTCTGCTGCTGGACAACAAGTAAAAACTGTCTACAATCAACAACCATCCAACAGTATATTGGGGTTTGAAACAACAGGTGGTAATTTACCTTGTAAAAAGATTGTGTTTCGACCATGGATGTGTAATAAAAATCAAACGCAAAACTTAAAACCATCCATTATTACATTTGTTCAATCAGTAATTTCATTTGCACTTCATCATAAGTTAACAACAATTGGTTAGTCTATACTATGTTTGAAATAAAAATTTGAAAATCAATTTTTAGCTTTTCCAAGCATTGGCTGTGGACAATTAGGTTTCGATCCGAAATTGATTGCTGAATATATGATTGGCGAGACCTATGAGCAATTCAAAAATACAGTTCATTCTACATTAATTGTTTCTTTTGTTTTACTACCTGGACAAAAAAATGTCTATGATGCATTTACTGATCGACTCAATAAGATACAAATGATTGATGATAAGCCAACTAGTATTTCTTTCGATAAACAAAGTATAAGAATAACACAAATTAATAAAAATGTATTTTCCTTCCATTCCATTTGTTTTTTTTTTCAGTAGTGAGAATTAAATTGACTGGTTCAAACAATAGTCAATTGATTGAATATCGAAATACAATAAAACAATTAGCTCAATCATGTTCCCTTAAACTTCATCTAACTGATAAAACTGATATGACTGATTGGTCGCAAGACACCATTCAAAGATATTATGATTATTGTTTACACAGACAAGTCATACCGAAACTCGATCTTCAAAATTCAACTTTGGATTTGATAGGTCCTAAAGATGCGGTAAGCCATTCTGTAACATGAATACAACACTGCATTTCTTCAATGATTGCAGAGAAAATTTACTTTAGCTTTCAACGAAAAGTTAACTGTCTCAGATTTCATCCAATGTGGTCAATGTGTTCGCTTGATTATCTTTATAGAAAAAAAAAGTAGACATAAAATAGGCGCAAAAAGTAAAATGTTTCAGAACTTCCAGTCAAAATTTGTCAATCATCTATATATTTTCCTTGTACTTAAAATCATTAATCTAAAAATTGATCGAGATAGATGTTTTGATCATTGTTTACACAACATTTAATACCTAGTAATTATCTTGTACTAAATATTTTGTTTTTTGTTAATTTAGGTAACCGATGCTGAAAAGTATTTTTTTCAATTAACTGCTGAAATACTACGAAATGCGCGTATTCAAGTTTTAACACGTGGATGTATATGGTCAGTTGAAATATCATCTGGTCAATGGGAACAATATCCATTTAGAATCAATGAACTAATTGAAAATGCTCAATTGAAAAAACTTCCATATGTATGTGATTCTTTTGTTCTTATTTATTCGAATATATTTTTTTTATTCTTAAGATTGAATTTGAAAACGAAAAATCAGAAAAATGTCGAATAATTTTCTCATCCATGGAAGAAGAATGTCAAAAACGAAAACGAAAAGTCTGTCGTAAACGTATAGATTCAACATTACCTCAAGTCGGAAAATCTTGAACTTTAATATCTTATCAAATTTCATGAAAATATAATTATTTTTAGTATTGGGACTTATCCGGTGATTATTTTAAACGAGTAGTTCTTTTAGACTCTTCTAACGAGTACAAAGATGTTTTAAATCGATTTGATTCTACAATGAAAGGTAACTATTCGAAAATCATGAAAATTGAACGGATTCAAAATGAACGTTGGTACAAACAGGTATTTTTGAATTTATTATTTCAACTAAGATAAAAATTTGTTCATTTAATTAATATTTTAGTATGCTGCTCATCGTGATGAGTTTACGCAACGCTATACACAACCTGATGAACGACTACTTTTTCATGGTTGCAGCAGTGAATCAGCTGATAAAATTGTACAAGAATGCTTTAATAGAGCATTTGCTGGTGCTAATGGTAAGATTAACATTGTTTTTGAATATTGAAACATCAATAAGAGTATTGTTTGTAGGAGTTATGTATGGTCAAGGAGTTTATTTTCATGAACATTCAAAATATAGTCATAGTTATGCTAAAGCAAGCACATCAAACGAACGAACTATGTTCTTAGCTCGTGTTTTGATTGGAAAAACATGTCTTGGCAATTCATCGATGAAAGTTCCACCTAAAAGTTTCGATACAACTACAGATGGTGGATACATTTTTGTGATTTATCATGATGCTGGAGCCTATGGTGAATATCTTATAACGTACAGATGAAAGCTGTTCAGTACAAATCACTAACGAAAGAGACTATAATCATTTAATTTGAGTCTTTAATTTTTATATATAGATTGACTAAATTTGACTTGAGTCACAAAAATATATATTTTCTTTGTCACATTAAAAGATAAACATTGACAAAAAAATATTGCAATGCTTTTCTAGAACGTGTAGATGGATGGGTCAGTGTGGCTGTGGGTATAGATGTACATCCTCTATTTACCCACACCCACACCTCTCTTGAAGAACAATATCTTTTCAGTCTTTGAGAAATATAAATTAGATATAGACTGCAAAGCGCAACACCAACTAATACTAAAAGTTTTTCTCTATAGATTTACATTCGAATGAACATGATCGAATAAAAAAATAAGTAAAACGACCATTGAAAACTCATATTGGTATTTCTTATTCTTGTGATTTATCATACTAAATTGATACATTTTAAGTTATGAGTTCTATATCATTCTATTCAGATGATCATATTTGCCTAATGTCCACTTTTGATTCTACTGATACATCAAAAACGACTTCATCTTGTCTTGTTGTTCATTTCACCTCAGCTTCTCCAAAGTTTTATATTTGTGAACAATTAAAACAATTGTTTTTAAAAATAGAGGAAAATGTTCGTCTTGAAAGTAACTCTTATTCTATTGATACAATCAGCTGAAAAACATTTGTATAAAAAATAAATTATGTTGTTCTTGTCGTTTCTCTTTCTTGTTGGAGTCAATCTGAAATAATAATCAAGACGTTTCGTCAAAGCGGCAGAATACCCTGTTCTAGTGGAAGAGCAGAACACAGGGTGCGTTTTTTTCTGATGCGGGTGTGGGTCAAAAGTTCCACAGCCATATCTTTTTTCAGGAAATAAAGTTGAAATCAGTGATTAGGCATAATCTCTTATTCGAAGCTGATAGAAATAAACTAATTCTAAGGCAGTCTACAAAACGACCTTATCTGTCCTCCTTCTTTGAAAGTTTCTCTAGAAAGAAGCAAAGTCATGTCTACAGATACTATGTTTTAGTCATTCGATGTATTTAGAGATTTTTTCAGGTAAAAAAAGTGATCGAGTCGAAATAGAAAACATCTATTCGTAGTCAGCTTATGAAGCTCTATCAAATCACATATAATAGAACGAAAAATAAAGCTCACTCCAATTTTGCATTTTCGATACCTTAATCAAATTCAGATGGTCAATAAAACAATTCTGGATGATTTGCTTGTTTTCTTCGACGAAAAGATATGTAATTCGTCGTATGCAATTGAAATTATATAGATAATGAACAATGTCAAATAAGTCTATTCAGATAATTGGCTAATTTATAACACGGTCACATCCACACCCTCAAATCAAAGATATGAAACTCTGAATATGCAAACAAACTAGAGTAATTATGAATTAATACAATCGTTTTTCTTCTCGACAATATTCATGCCGTGTTAAAAGTTATGGTCTGAGTCTTGTTAAGATATTGATTATCAATTGTAACGATAACAACTAATTTTATGTTATTTATGGTTACGCTTTTGAATAATTTCAACTGTGTTTCGAAAGATTTTAATTGATAATGATGATGATGATTTCGCTATTAATAAAACGACACAAAACAAGAATTATGTAAAATATGTCAAAGAAATTTCTCATATTTCTATGGCTTCGAATCAAGAGAAACAATTTGAACGTCATCTTTGATGATGTCTTTGTTGCAAGTTGTTGATATAAGAAAAATCGATGATTATGACTGATGGAATTGTCGGCCTTTGATAGCTGACATTAGTAGATAATATGATCTGGGTATTTGTTTGAAAAAATGTTATGAACATAAACCTTTAATCGCATGACAGAAATTCGTTAACGAACTAATATTTCGCTTTGAGATATAATAGTATTCTTCAATACTCTAGTAATGATAATTATATAGTTGATGTTTCTCTCGACTGACTTGCATAATCATTTATTGTTTGTTCATCACACAGTATACATCAAATAAGCAATTATTTCATAATATTTGAATATGAAAGACTTTATAGTTAACGATATATATATAACACAACAAAAACGAAAATTCATTGTCGACGAAATCTTTCTAACATCCATATATATACATATAAATATAGAAATTAGTCAATTTTAAACAATTTGTAAAAAATCGTTTTCTATCAATATTTGTATTTAATTTTTGTCGAACTTATGAGACAAGTCAACAAGGCATTCATTTAATCTGGCTATGCGGTAGAAATCGAAATAAAACACGATCATACAAATAAATAAAAATCTAATAAACTAATATGATTTAAAAATAAATATTTATTCTTTGATATATAGTTGATTTAATTACAATAATACAATAAATTTTGTTTTCATATAACATACACGGACTTCATATTTATCCATGATTATCAATAAAAATAACTTCAAATAGTTACATATTAATCGAGTTTTGCTAAACATAGTAATTGAATGACATATTGAAGTGGATATAATCAAAATTTCCAAAATAGAAAAACAAGGAATATACTTGTCCAATCAATATGCAATCGACGAATCGTATAGGGAGTTAATCTATCAATTATTAAAGTGCTAATATTCATAAATGATAATAAAATACACAGAAATTTTGTTCAATTTTACTTAACCTAAGAACATTGATAACATATAATAATATTTCAATTATACGATATATGATCATAAATATAATTCGAGATACTACACTAATCTTAAATTACATAATATCTCTGAATATGTAAGCTATCGCGTAAGTCTATAGTCTGGACGATGATAATTATTGCCATTTTATGATTACGAAACATATTGTTAAAATTGAAGTTTCTTCTCAATGTATAATGATCATTATGCCTCGTGTACAATTCTCAACAAAATTGCATTATAGATTGATCATTCTTGTTTTGTTCAATGAATTTTTGTTCAGGATTTGAAAAATCTTAAATGAGACTCAAGAGAGAATCTCTTCAGATGTTTTCTTCCTATTTCAAGAGGTATTAAGTTTCTTTCTAGAGGTCTCAGGTTTTCTGAAAATCTGAGGCTTCTGAAAAAAGAATTTGATAGTCTAGTCATTCTATGTAATACCTATTCACAAAATATCAATAATTAAAATTTATATCCGATAAACTAACAAGAATGCTCTGTATGAAATTTGAATTTAAAAGTAAAAGAAAATACCATCAATCGAGTTTCTATATGAATCAAACAGGAAATATACTGAAATTGTTTTATTATGAATCACAAATTTTTAACAATATCTTCTTTAATCTTGATTTTATAATAATATAAAATTATTTTGCTTACGAAGAGAGTAATCATATAAAACTACTTTCAGTAGATATGTTTATTTCAAAAATAAAAATTATTTTATTGTCTAGATAAAAGCTTCAAAATGGAATTAAGTTGATACATAGCAACATATCTTCTTCTTTGATTCACAAAATAATGACACTATTCATTGTATCATTAGCATTCCAAAGAAAATATTAAATAATTCATCACTATTATTGTTAGCGATGAAAATGCGTATGATCCTTTCCTCCGAATGTTAAATATATCTAAAAAGCTTTGATGCATATTCATTACATTTTTTTGTCAATATGAAGATTATTATTCCAAAACTAATAGAACTTTTATATTTATGATTTTGTATATCTCTAGAGAAAATTCTTTTATTTAAATTCATTGAATAGTTCGTGTTACATATTTATATAAGATTGTGAATACAATCATTGGTCAATTGTCTTATGAGGTTTTCCTTCTTTTTTTTTATTGTATTGCTTCTTCATTACGATGATTATTTTATTATATCGTATAGTTCTATTTCCTCGTTCTTAGATTTATTCAAGTGTATAAATTAAATAACAACAACAACATGCATCTTTTTTCTACCTCATTATGACATATAAATTATTGAAATACGAACAATGATAAAAAAATAGTATAAGATGTAATGTAGAAACATTAATCATGATCATTAAAAATAATAAAAAAAAAAAAGATCAGTTTTTTTGATTACATCAAATATATTCGTAGACTCAATTGCTTCTGTTTTATTAAGAGTGCATGGTTAAATATAATAAGAAAGAAAAAAGATGATGATAGACATGGAATGAATGATTATAGTATGTAGAGTAACTTAAGTCACATAAAACTTCCATAACATAAACATGAGAGACAAGTGTCAAGCTAATAGATTATTGTTATTTGTCGAGTTTTTTTAATTAATTGTTACCAATTATATGTATGTATGCATGTCTTTCCTTATTGAGAACGGCTTTGTTTTATCTGTAAATCCATGATGATTATGTATTTCTATTAAAAAACATTAGTGAGCGTTCAAAAAGAAAGTAGCACCGAGTGACGTAAGCCATTAGTTTTCTGTCAAAATTTTGAATGAAAGTCATTTGTCTATATCCAATCTATTTTCATTGAATTCTAGTTGAGCATCATCAGTATGCCAAAATGATTCACACATCATGTTAGTCACTTTGATCATTATTAAAAATGACATTTCTTCGACCATCATCTCTTATGAAAATCGGTCCAATATAAAAGCTTAAATTGAATTAGGCAAAATACATGCGCACGAGATAAATAGATGAATAAGACTAGAATTTTATGTTAGGATAGAGAACAACTTATTAGACAAGCTTTTAACAAAAACTGTTCATTTTTCTTTTGAATCATAAACATTTAGATATAAGAAAATGTATATATGAAGGTCTCATGAGAAAATTTACTTTTCTTTTATTGCTTTGGATAGGATATACTATAATATTCTGTTTCTTCCAAAATTTCTTTTATTTTCTTGTCATTAATAATGAAATAAAAGTGATATAATATTATTTGCATGAAACAAAGATCAAAGATAGAATTTCATGAGATCATTTCCTTTCTTTTTTTTTTATTGTATTTGTCTCGTCATACCTAAGAATAATTCTTGATGAAAAAAAAAAAATTTCCAAAAAATATTATTCTCTTTAGAATTCAT